AACTTCCAAATTAGAAGAATAAAATTGTGCAGTGTTATCCTCATGAGCTGTGATGGCCTGGCACACAGGAGGACTTCCATACTCATCAACCAGAATTCCTCAACTTCAGGACCGTGGACACTTGGGAACAGACCATTTTTACTGTGGGGTTATCCTGCTGAATGCAGAATGCTTAGCAGCACTAAACCCACTCTCCACTGGATGTTAACAGCATTTCCCCACTTCTGACAAGTAAATTATCTTCACAACCCAAATAACACTGGAGTCTAAGTAAAATCAATCTCACTGCTATGGTGTAAGGGAACAGCAACGTGCACTTATCTCATCTCCTGAGTACAATCTTGTTGAGAAATCACTAGGTGTAAGCAATGTTGTACGTGCTGACAGAAACATCAAGAAGGGCAAGGCACAATATTCTCCTCATTTAACTTGCAACAGACCATGGAAAACAAACATAAATAACTAAGACATGGAAAGGAAGACATGAGGGTTAATTAGGCACCAACAAGATTTCACACAAAGGAAAAATAAATTCTCACTGGAAAAGGCAAGCAAGATACTTAGAGAATGTGACATTTAAGAGAATATGGTCTTGAAAGAGGACTAGGATTCCAACAGGACAAGTAGAAAAGTAATATTTTTGAGGAGATGAAAGAGGCATTGGAAATCACTTTCTGGAAGAAGTGTGCAGAGCCTTGAACTCCAGTGGATATTACTGAGTTTATTTACAAGGAGTCTCTCATTTGACTTCGTTTCTTATTTGATGGAAGGAGAGGTGTGTGCTTAGCATGCGTGAGACCCCAGGTTATATCTTATCACAGCATTTTAAGGGAGATAAATTTCCCAGGTTTTTTACAACCCTTCTCTCATGCGAGTGGACAGAGTGGCGGCGTTAGAAAGAGGCAGGGAAAAGCTGATGTCTATGTATTTCCCTCATCTTTCAAGCAATCTAGCATCTTATTATGCTGATGATCCAATTTTCTAATTTAAAGTTATACCTGATGAAAGGATATGACACAAAAAGTTAACACTTCTGCCAGAGATTGTGGAGGGAGAAATAGGAGATTATAACTCATTCAACAAATGATCCAGAACATATCGAATAAGAGGTTAGTCAAAGGAATTTAGGAAGGTAGAAGAACATTTTTATTTTTTATTTATAAATTTATAATGATGTTTTACAAAGAAAAGTGCCTTCAGAAATTATCGTTGTTAAAAACCAATGCTTTCAAGAAACATAAGCTAATAAAACTATTTCATTTTCTGGTTTTGATATTTCAGTGATTAGCACTCACCTTTAAATGATATGGAAAATGACAATACAATGTGAAGGAGAAGGACCAAGGAAATAATCTAAAGTCATCTTTATTTAGGGCACGGGTTCTTAATCTTTCAGGCTTTTCATTCCCTTTGGATATCTGTGTTAAAAATGCTGTTTCCTCCTCAGAATAACACGCACAGACACATACTCACAATACAGAGCAGTAAATTTCAAGGTATTTCTGACTTTAAAAAGCCTGTCCATAGCTTTCCTTTTCACTCAAGTTCTTTAGATTATAAAACCCTGATTAAAAACAATTCCTGACTGAAAACAGTGCTTCAGAGGGTTAAGAAGCATAAAGAGGGCTAAAAAATACCAAGCAGGGCAATTTAGAAGCCAAAATTCCCGGAAATTTTCAATATACCTGGAATAAGTTTTAACTGATATGTAGTCAAAAAATATTTAGTTATCACTTCCTATTAAAGCGATCACATACTCCCAAAGCTACTGTACAGATTCAATACATTTTAAGTTACTCTTATTTGATGGAACATTGCTACATGTCTTTAAAAGCAATATGATGAAAAAATAGAACATCCTTGCATTAAAATTCAAAAATGTTAGGGCTTTTCTAAAGCTTTAAAACCTGGGTTTATTTAATCTCTCCAGCCGTATTTTTTTACCCTTTTTTATAATAAAATGTTGGTCTAAATTATATCTAAGCCTTCTCTATGAATTTTATATTTTAAATTAAATCATTTCACTCTAATAAATTAAGACAAATAAAAATCCTTTGTTAAAAGTTAGAATAGCTGCAATTATTCCCAGAGTAAAATATTTTTCAGGAAGTGATTGCAAGCTAGATGTGGTTGAATTGCTAAATGGCTGAATTTGCAGAAGTGGGCGATAATTAAATCGTTACGCTCAACTCTTATTAAATATTAATGAATTCTCCATGACTTTGAATCAAAAGTGTTTTCTACAAGAGAGGTTCTGACCCAGTTGTCTGAACGATGAGTCATCCCTCACTCTGAGGTGGTCTTCCCCAGCTCCAAGGTACTCATAGGCACTACCAGGAAATTTAACTGTGGTGGACTGTGTTGTACTTGGCTTTTAACTAAAAAAATAAAAAATAAGAAAGAAAGAAAAAGAACTTTCAATATTGATATCATAGGAGCAAAGGATTTTCTCTGAGGAAAAGGGTTTGACGTTAAAAAAATAATGCACTCAGCCAAGGTTCCAGTCATCTGAATGCACTCACCATTTGTGTGGCTTTAAATCTGGCTGCACACATACCAGACCCAAGGATCAGAAGTGCATCTGGGTAACAGAAGCTGGTCAGCGTAGGCCCCTCCATTCCCCTTTGTTGTTTGTTTTTGCAACACATGTTAGGCACCAAAGAGACAAACAAGGATAAAATGGCTTTTTCCTTTCCCATGTGGTTCTTGGCCAGAGACACAAAGCCGCAACCAAAGCATTGAATTTCAGTGTCCTGGCTGCGGAGGGACCCACTTTCTTGCTCTCTCCCTTTTTCCTTCCAAGTATTTTCCCACCAATACAGAATAATGTAGTACAATAACATATACGGTTATTACTATATCACTCCTTCCCAATTCCCTGTCATTAAACTCTACTGTGAGATAACATCTTTTTGCCTTATTTCCTAAGAATACAGTCTGATATAAGACAGCATTCTATACACTCAGTGTTTTAAACTGGTAAATTATATATATATAATATATATATATTATATATATATATATAATATATATACACACACACAAATAGATTTTGATGTACAAATGGGTTATGTTCCACAGATTAACGGAAAAGTTTGCTGTTTGAAGTTCATAACATCTTTCTCATGGGAAGAAAAGAAATCTTAAAATAGGTGGATAAAATTCAACATTAAAAAGGGTAGGATGAGGGAGAAAGGAAGATCTAGGTCAGCGTGTAGCACATTATATCACAGATTCCTCTGCAAACAGGTATTTGTCTCTGTTCCAGAACAGAAACTTAGAATCCCTTAAATCACAGTAGCACAGCAGAAGACAAAGATCATCTCTTTCAGGCATCCAGGGAAGAGCTCATGGAGAGAGCATGAAGCACCCGTGCTACGGAATGAGGTAGCATGGCTCTGTGGCCCTTGGTCACCGTTTCCACTTCAGGAGGGTAGAGCGGGCCACAAGCAGATGGCGCTGGGACCCCCCCAACTGCTCATAATTTGACCAGTTGTAAATTAGATGTTTTAAATTCAAAGCTTGCTAAACAAATTAAGCCCTGGTAAAGAGATTTATTTTGTAAATCTCTTATTATTTTCAGTGGCTTAATGGACATTACTACGTAATTATGTAGCATAATTTATTTTGTTTAAAATTTTAACTTAAGAATTTCACCCATTTAGAAGAGAGTATAACAGTGTAAACTTACATGTTTCTTACTTAACATTCAAAAATCAAGACTCTGATATACAATCTGATTTGCATTTACAACAAAACTTCTTTTTTATTTTTCCAACATAATACAGCAAATATCTGGAACTCATGTCATATATACTTCAGCTACATAACTAACTGTATAGCCATACAGCTCTAAGCTGTGCAATTTCACACACAGTGACAATACCATTATAACTCCCAATAAAAATAACACTTTCACCATTGTCTGCAAGCATCATTTAACTTAATCTGTGTGTGGCCTCTAAGTGGAAAATAATTCTAAAAATGAATTTTAAAATGTCATAACAATATACTTATCAGTGGTAGAATTTAGCAATTATATTTTCATTATGAATGCATGAAAGCAAAATATTCTTTTAACTGCCATGGTTAACAGATAAAAGTAATGTATTTTAGATTAAAAATTGCTCACTATTGATCATGCAGTGCAGCAAATATCTTACATATGGCTTCTACTTTTAATTGACACTGACCTGGCTGCTATAATCCCAAGAATTTGTGGATCTGCAATAAAGTTTTCCTCATGGGAAATATTGAGAGAACTTTGAAGTTAGTGATCAGACTTTGAAGAGTTTTTCATTGAAACACAAGGTCTTTCAAAATATTTCACATTGAATTATGCTTCTGAGATGGAAAGTTAGATGGTTCATCCATAGGTAAGAGGCATTTTGGGATAGTATCTGAATTAGAAGGATCACCTCAGTGTAATAGCTTCTGCAGTAAACTGTTTTTACATTACTGATCACAGGGCAAAATCAGCTTCAGGAAATGAATGCAGCACTTTGTGTTCTTTTCCCCAGTTATTTTCTGCTAACATAAATAATAAAACCCATAATTTTAAGGCCAGAAACATAAAGTGCCATGAAACCTGTTGGAGTAGACCTTGGCAGTAGTAATATGTAAATACAGTAATTTGTAATTCTCAGAACCACATTATTATGCAGTTACTGTTGTTATTTCCATTATATAGATGAGCAAACTGAGTTATAAAAAGCTGTCTTTCCCCCAAGAACACAGAGCGATAAATGGATGTCAGGGAATGGAACTGACTTGTTGTAGCCCTTTACCATGCTATCATACTATCATACGGTCTCTCAATGGAGTTAGGAGATTCTCTTTCTCTTTATATGAGCTCCAAGTGGTGGGGAGACTTCATCATGCTCTGATGCTGACCTTGAATTTCGCTGTATCTCATAACCCATGTGGGTTTTTGATATACCAGCGTATGTATATGTACTTAATGATAACCATGTGTACAGATACTCCCTTTATTTTAATCGGGTCATCAATAAACTTGTCCCTTAGGAACCTATTCTTAACACTCCTAGCCATGATAAGAGTCAGCACAGTCAGCACAGAAATTTTAAGTATATATGCTGCCAAAAAGAGCACAGGTGAAGAAGTTTTTAATTCTTTTTCTCTTCATTTTATTAAAAATTATATTATCATGCCTTAGTTTCATCAAAACCACCCACTGTAGTCAACACACACTGTACAGATTTAATTGCTTAGTTTATACCTGGCCAAGACATCTCCATCCACAGCATACTCTGTGCTGTAGGTGGTAGCAAATTTGTTCTATCTGGCTTTTGGATTGTCCTTCTTTTTTTATCTAAATCTCTATTTAGCTGCTGTAGAAAAATGACTTAACCAGTTGAAGTGATAACATTTCATGTCTTGATGGAGTCTGCTGAAGGCAGCTGAAGATTATTCCTGTCTGCAGGTAGGATCTTTGGTCTTGAAAAGTATTGGGATTTGAGGAGAGCCAATAGACAAGCTCCCCTCTCCCGCCTACATTCTATGCACAAATGCAACCTGAGCTGCATTTCTCTGAGAAGAAAATCTCCTGTGGCTTGTGCCTAATGTTGGAAAACACCAATAAGCGGTGACAGAAATGTTTACTTCTGTGGCTCTCAGGGTCTGTGAAGCCTGCACATACCAGCATTATTTGTAATAGAAAGAAAAAATAAATTCAAATGTTTATCAACAGTAAGTTAGATAAATTATAGACCGTTCAGGTAAAGAAGACTCATGAAGAAATGAAAGTGTCTAAACCATTGCTTTGTGCAGTATCATGAATAAATGTCAAACCATGTCACTGGAGAAGAAAGCCAATAATAAAGGAAGAAGCACTTTTGTTTTGTTTGTGTAAGTCTCCCGGCTTCACAGGCAGCACTGGAGCGTTGCAGCCCACCTTCCCGATGGGGTATGTCCTTTTCCCACAGCAGGGAGCAGAGCGTCTCACTCTGCTATGGGCAGAGGAGAGGGTCACTGCTTCCAGAATCAATGCTCACCATCCCAACCCCAAGGGAACAGTTAGTGAGGGAGGGGAGAGGTCAAGGCTGTTGAACACTTGTGCTTTCCTCCATATTAAAGGCAAAAGAAGGTGCAGAGAACAAGTCCACATCAGCAAAGAAATTGTTGCTACAATTCCTGTGTTTACCTGCACTTTCCCACTTATGTTGCTTTAATGTCACGCTTTTTCAAACACAGAATGTTGACATTTTGGGAAGCACTTTGTTGTGGAGGCTGTTCTGGGCATTGCAGAGTGATTAGAGGCCATTAATAACCTCTCCTGGCTGTGACTGCTGATAATGTCCCCAGAAGTTGTCTGATGACTCCGGAGGAGCAAGATACTCTGCCATCCAACTGTGAACAATAGTTTGGACCCCATAGGGCAATGGAGTGTGAATCTGTGTACCTAATCTCCTTGCAAAATTGCACTGACAGAAATTGTGCTTTCTGTCCAAGCTTCACGTGTATGTTTGTATATATGGAAAATATGTAAACAATTGAAAACAGATGAACCTAGCTGAATTTGTTGGAATGGTAGCTTAATAAATTACTATTTTTAGATTTGCAATCACATTGATATGGTTATGGTTACTTAAATTTTATAAAAATGATGTGAAATGATGCTTATATACTTACATTAAATTTAAATTGTAATTTGTGTATCGGGAAGAGGAAAATATCATACATAGTAAGAGTTATAATAACCAACAGTAATTAACATTTTATTACATCTTTTATAATTTAAGCCTTGCTCTAATTTTCATACTGGAACAGATGCAGAGAAAGTGGTTAGAGATGTATTACATCAAAAATTAAAAATAAAAAATCCTTATTTCCTATGTTTTTATTATTTAATTTTAAATTATTCTTTAGTAGCATTGAAAAATAATTATGTAGATTTATCTCAGTTTTTTTAAACTGAAAATTTATGAGAAAAATGAATATAGTATTAAGGAAACATTCCTTTTTTCATAAAATTAACTGAAAAATAAAAGTATTAATGACAAACATTTGCTATTGTCAGTTATAAGAAGTTTCCAGGAAAATGATTAGATTGCTTAAATTTTAACTCAAAACCAGGGAAAGATGTTTCAAAAAGGATAACTTCATTCTTTGAAAATTATTTTTAATTTTGTCCTGCAGGCAGAAGGTATTATTGCACAGACAAAATTTTTGCTGGCATTCTTATATTTGGGGTAGAATTTTTAGTATGTATGAAAATAAAAGCATTAAGTTCTTTATTCACAAAAAATTAAAAATCATTTCCTTAATGTTTATCTTCCAGGGACATTTGAAGTGGAGAACAAGAGTTGTACATGGTCTAATACATCTCATTAATACTTTTAAACCACTCAAGTTGTAGGTAACACAACCGGTCTTATTCTTTCTGAATTTATGTCATTTCACTAATCTTATGATTATGAGAAAAATTAGTTATTGAAGAATGGAAGTGTATTACATTCCTGTGGGAAAAATGCTGAGTGTAAAAAAAAAAATGGAAATAACTTTGCTATTCAAGAAAAGCTTGGGTCAAATTAGGCAAAATATATTAAAAAACAACTCGTTTATATGAATTTTCAAAAATGTCTTCTACCTGTAACAAAAACAGAGTGGTTCTTTAGCAAACATATTCTTTCTCAAAATAGACTTTAGATATATTTGAGTATTCAGAAGAAGTAGTTGCAACATGCATAATCATGCTGACCCAAAAGTAAGTCAAATGTTTGTTTCAGATCTGCACTGGTTAGAAATTCAGCATGAGATCGTCAGCCTCGTTTTCTTGCACCTAAGTGTCAGGAACTATTAAAGCTCAGTTAGGTCTGTACATTACCTCACCTGCTAAAATTTGCTGGACTGGACCAGTTTTCTGGTCAACATGTGGTATTAGTTGTTCCCTGGCTTCCAAGGTTGGCACTAGAGAAATGAGAAATGTTTGTGAAGCTCGAATATCAGACCATCACAAAAACCCCTGGGGTTCAGGTCTTGTTAATGAGAAAAAGATAAGAATGGTCAAAAAGCTGAAGAGGTTACTCAGCAATAGCTTGTCAGGGGACAGACTACAGCCTTGAGGGAGTGATAAAATTGCATGTCACGTTAGGTGTTCTGTGTTTTTATAGAAAGTTGAAATAATGGACGTGCTGTACTTCTATGAGAGGCACTTTGTAAATAACACAGCACAAAATATTTAATGTCACCATTATGGACCACTTATGGGGTAGTAGCTCTTTTTATTTTCATATTCTTGTGAAGAAAATTGAAATTTCTAAGATTTAAATAATGCACCCAGGTTCATGTAACTTGTCATTAACAAACTTAGCCAAAGAGGATTGCAGGACAAAGCTATAACTCACTGAATTTGACCTTCATAATTTGCTACCTGTATATGTAATAAGTTGTAATAAATTCCCTTCACATTTTAAGTGAAAGTCATTTTATCTCCTCATAAATCAAGAAAAATGTTGATTATCTCTTATCACTCTTTTCAATGACACGGGACTTCTTTCTGTAAAGTTATCTAGGTTAGATTTTACGAAGGATATGGCATGTCTATGAGGGGAAAACTAATGTATATTCTTAGGTACTTTGTAAGTAGTAAGCTTTTTATAATTGACACAAAGCTAAAATAATAGATTTAAAGCTACTGTTTCTTCATTTGATGAAGGGTTTATCAACTTAACGTAGAGATTAAAGAAGAAATAGAAAAATTGGTCTCTTTGCCTTAAGGAAGTGCTTTCAAACGCAGTGGACATGCGAATTATGGGAGGATCTTACTAAAATGCAGATTCTGTTCAGCAGGTCTGAGGTCTGGCCCACAATCCTATGTTTCTAGCAATTTCTCAGGTGAAGCCTAGGCTTTTAGTGGATTGTTAAATCTTTCAGTGCCATGTACGCTTTTGCTGAGGACAAGGGGCTCGGGTTTGAGACAGAGTAAGAGATGAATACTGTATTCAGAGGGGGTTGCACAAATAGTTGGATGATTGTGGTTTGGAGAGACACAATACTGAGACAATTAGAGTCATTTATGAGCCATTGCTGGATTTCTATTAGACTAATTCTCTGGATCTCTATCCATCATATTATCATTTCCTTTAGCATAGTAATTGTCATAAATGGATCCAAGCTTTTGTGTCCCACCAGCTCACTTACGCTGTCAGAAATATTGTCTGCAAATTATGATAAGTAAGACTGGTTGAATGTACAAAAATCTATTTTTATTCTCACTTGTATCCATTGTATAAAGCAAAATGTCTCACCCATCTTCTGAGTATATCAAAAGGAATTTAAGATGGCTCCAACTAGTGAGACATTTTTTTTTTGGTTTGTTATTATGCATACATCATTCAAGTTCCAAAAGGCATTGAGAATTGGAAAATAAGTAAGAAAAATTATTTAAAAATGTTACCATGTATTTTTCATGGCTTGTATTCAGACTGATAGAAATTAAATTACAGTTAGTTCTCAAATTAAAAAAATCAGATAAGTATTAAATGTACCTGTACCTCCTAAACATATTAATTTTTGTATTAGTATTAGATCAAAGTCCCTGGCTATTCTCTAACATTTACCTTGTTCTTTAAATCTACTCCAATAAATTCTGTATTTTTTCTTCTTTGCTTTAGATTCCTATTTATAATGTTTCAAACATTTGAAAATACATTTTGATGAAGCTAACATTTTAACTTCTTCCAGAGATAACAAAAACACCAGCAAGACCACAAATTCTAAGAGCCAAAACTTTTTTCTCAGTTAATGCACTTTCATAATTACAACAAAACTTACATTTAGTATCTATAGCTAATGGGCAAACCTTAAGACTAGATTTCAACCTTGGAACATTATCTGAACATATGTATGGCATGCAGAGCTAACTTACTAATAGCCAACTATATTGAGCACTTATGTGTAGGCAAATTCTTAAAATTCTATACATGTCAAATATGTTCTTTAAAGAATATGGATTACTGCTATGAGAATCCAGGAAAACTTTTCCCTCAGTGAACAAACTTTTCCTTTCTATTTATAGGTTATAGACTATATTAATACTCAGAAGAGTACTATCCAAAAAAGCTTTCAACATTTTTGTTAATATGACATTTTGATTATAAATCAATAAGTAGGTAACAGATATTTACCTTTTAAATGTTTGAGTAGACATACAATCTCTGTATTTTCAAGTTTAACCTTAATATCCTTCTAGCAAGTATTCAGAGAAAATGTCATTTAATAAAGATATTGAGTGCAGAGTCTACTGATTAATTTCTCCTAAGCAAAGCCTCATAACCTGCTTTCACTATTTTGCTCATTTTCTAATATATTGCTTTATTTTTTAATTTCAGAATTATAATTTGATTGACTTCCTAAATATTGAAAGGCAAACACTTGAAGATGCATTGAATATGTGGAATGAGTTACATATTAATCTGAATTAACCTAATTGCACATAACATAATTAAGGAAAAGATATGTAAATTAATTGAAAAGTATTTTAAAATACCCAGTGAGTTTTTTGCAATTTCACCTTATTTTAAATGAACTTTTTTCTAGTTCCATTATTTATTTTACATATGGACTATGTTCAGGACCACCCCTGAATTCTTTCATAAGTTTTCTGTCATATGTAAAGGACCAGGAAGGATCCAGATAAACTAAGCCTTGGGCTGAATGAAGAGATCCCAGGAGTAGAGTTCATGGAGTTGGAGATAGTGACTTACCTCCTATTTTGGGTATTAAGCCTTTCTTATACTGTACAGAAATAGCTCAGTTCATGAACATTTTTGTTCACAGTTCTTGAACAGAAGTGTTTTGCAAAATTTTGTTTCTGTTCATGAACTCAGCATCAGGTTACAAACACAACTACACACTCTTCCTTAGAATTGAGGGACGAATTAAGTTTGTGAACTGAGGCACCACTGACGATAGTACGTTTATGTATATTTTTAAACAGGTGTTCACATACTCAGGTGTTGCCCGTGGTGTATAACTTCAGTTCACGTAAGGGGGTGAAAAGGAGAGCTGCAGTCTTTCCCCAGAGCATAGTTGAGAAAGCAGAAAAAGAGAGAGAAATTATTGTGTCTATTCAAACCTATGGCAAGAATTTTTGTGCAAAATGGAGTTTCACAAACTCCTGCGGCTCACACGATCACTCTAGAACACCAGGAGAGAAGGGAATCTATTCAGTCTGTTCTTGGTTTCATGCAAATGTAATTCCCCGAAACAGGAGATCTAAACTCATATCAAGGTAATGTTATTCTTTCGTCAGTCTACCTGTATTCATTTAATAGTAGAGTGAAACTCTTAACTACAAAAATCATGTTTAAAACTCAAGTATTAAATTTAGAGATTTAAAATACAGGAAATCAATAACATTTCTCTTCTTACCTGAAGTCCTTTTGTGAAGAAGAAAACATAATTCCTTTTCAGTACTTTAGGATATATGTTATACATTTTTATCAAATAAATATCATGAAAGAAATACAACATCAATAAGAAAACTCTTCTTCATTTAAAGGATGATGCTATGCAAAAAATTAGCATGATATTTTGTAGGAATAACATGTTTAATTTGCATATAATTATTTTACAAAAATCCTAACTTTCCCATATTTTATATTTACAATTAATCACATAAGTCACTTTGATATAGATGAAAATAACTAGCTTATTTTAGCTCCAAGAAGAGTACTAAACAATGCCTTTTTTCTTTCTTTAATAGATAAGGCAAATTAATAATTTAAAGATATATGAATGCTAAAGTTCACAATATCAAACTACAAGCATAACATTTTTGTATTTCTGGGAAACTCAGTGGTTTTGAAAAAATTGCTTCCAACAAAATACAATTTCCCCTTGAGGCATGATTACCTGCCCTGATGAATCACCTTCCTTTATATTTTTATTTTTCCTTTGATAGAATATTGTTCACAGACATATTCTCAGATGAGAAAAATCAATGTTTTGGCTATTGTTATTAACACACATTTGTAAATCAATTCTTTGTTTTTAGACAGGCTAAATGATAACCATAGTGCTTTTGAAATAAGAAACAAGTCTCCTAATTTACAGATATTGTTTATCCAAAATAAACTGTAGAGTCTTTTTGAAAAACATGGCAAATCCTTTTACTTATTATTCATAAATTCCTTCACCTAGAGGGAATTTCACTGGGAATAAGGTCTAGAGCAATGTACTAAAGGACCAGCTTTTTTCTGGTCTACTTAGGTTACACAGAAAGAAGTTCATTTCTCATAATCTGCATCCCAGTTATTAAAGATGCATATAGTTATACAGTTCACCCTGATGCTAGCATTTTATGAATAGATCTTTGCAAATACAGTAGATATTCATTTAAAATACAATATGAAAAATTTCGCTTCTTTTGTTTGAAAGTGAGTACAAACTCCCCATAGCTCTAATCATCTCTAAAATTATTTATTTTAATTTTGGAAACATCTTACATTTAAACAAGTAAATCAATTCTTCTTGCTATTAAATGTAAATGAATTAATCACAGCCAAAGAGCTGTTTTACAGAATGTTCATCAAATGGTATACTCTAACTGTTAGTGATAAAACATAGTTTGCCACAAATTAGTTTAGCTAAAATTAGAATAAAAGTACTTCAGATGTCACATACGATGTTTGGAAAAGAATAATTTCCACCAATTTCAGGATATCCACATTCATTTAGAACATAGCTTGATAGAGTGATTTTAGGGAATTTTCCACATACGACTTACACCTTCTATTTTATTTTTTCATTTCTAAAGTATTCCAAATATGCAATTTCTCTGATCCTGATTCAAGCATAAGAGCACTAGATTAGGGGTTAGTTTAGGTATAAATATCTTGAGAGTCACTTTTTGTCCACAAAAGAATACCTATACTTGCTATACTCTTGAAAGAAACCAACAATAGTAGAAGATATGTAAAAATGACCTATACTTGCAAAATGATAAAAACGTATTTTTAAAAACATTTGTCTTGTTTTATAGATCTGTTACCATTTTACATGAATGTATTTGCAACAGTTCAAAGAGATACTTGAAAACCAGTAAGGTAACTAAAGTGGGAGTAGGTGAAGTAGAAAAAAAGAAATGCAGAAGTGATATGAGAAAATATGAATATGCATAAGAAATATGTACCTTATGAAGTAAACTCACTGAGTCAGGAATATTAAGGGTTTCACATTAATTCCATATGAATAATAGCTACAGGGTTTTCCTTACCTGCAGCAAGGTAGTGGTTTAGATGAACCTATTTTAAAAGGCATACAGGGGTTCTAAAATTTTTGAATAAAATATACCTACTATCTCTTAGAATGCACAAAAACCTAAGAAAACCCCAAGAACACTGAAGAGCAAAAATGTTAAGAAAATCTGAATGCAATAAAGAAACAGAGACCTTGACAGCTAACCTTGGTCTTCTAAAAGTTCCTGCTGGTCACAATCTTAAGTGATAAAACTAAGAACTTGCATAAATTAGATAAGAAATCAAAACTCAAATGAAATTACAAAAATCAAATTACTGAATCACTTTCAATGGGTGGGAAGCAAAATAAGACAAAACATAAACATTAAAAGAAAAAAAGATTTCCTATGTTGCACTTGTCTTTGAAGAAGCAGAAAAAAGGAAGGTGTTCTCTGAGAATGTTTAACTACAATCAAGCCCTCACATGGATTTAGTGAATATTTATATCAACTATGGGTCAAATAAAGCCTGGATTGTAACAGAAAATTCCCCTCTAGCCAGTATATTTCAGTTTTTTAGTTACCCACAAAGTAGTTCCTGTTGCAGTTCTGGTTGCTTCTGTCTCCTAGAAACAGCTGGTCACAGTGATGCATTGTGGGTCACTATGGTGCGTACTGTAGGACACAAAGATAGCAAGCACTCTGTATCTGTACTTCCCCTTTGCAATCCCATGAAACCTTCCTTCCCTGAGCCTTTGGGCCTGATATTTTGGGAATGATCACATTCAATGCCTGTCAATGCAAAATAAATCTGACTCCAAATCCTAGGTGTCATTTCAGTGCTTGCCCTTGCACATAGTGCATAATCCAGGAGGACCAACTGTACTGACCTCTTCGGTCACTGCTCATAGCCTTCACAGAAAGAGCAGGGTCCTCTCCAGGTCCTAACAGGAAGGTGCACCCTCCAGACTTCTCGAGCCCCCTTGGAGGTCTGGAGAAGGATTCTTAGCTCCCTCCTGAGTGGCTCACATCAAACTCAACAGGGAAGAGGACACAGTCTGTCTGTCTGTCTGGTCTGTCTGATTGTCTGCCTGCCTGTTTGAGTCTGGTAAGATTCGCATGACACCCCAGTTAGTCTGTCAGTCCTGCTCAGCTCAAGCAGAAAGGCAGTCTGATCAACTCTCAGTAGTCAGGGCCACCCTCAAGGGGGAAAAGGGGTGGAATGTTTAACCTCTGAGTGGCTACTGAATGAATGTGTGAGTGGAATGACAGCATAAACCATAGGCCGCTTCATCTGTGCAGCAAGACCAGGAAGCACTGGTCTCCGTGGCTGACTGGGTCTTCCTGTGTGGTTCCTTGATGATTGACACATGGCATAATGGAGAACTTGCACTTTCTTTAGCTAAGTTGCGCCCAAGTCCCTGTGAGGGGTGCAGCCAGGTGGGCATCTGAGTGGCCTCTTTCAGTGGTACCTACCCTTTGTCTGTTGCTTCATCATCCAAGGGTATGCAACATACACTTAGGGAGCCAGAAATAGGAAAGAATTATTCAAAATCCACAGTCCCTTACTGCAGGAAAAAGGGCTTTTACAGTCAAAACTGAAACCAAACTGCTCCCTGAGTCTCAAAGAAAGAAAGAAAGAAAAAAAGAGCCCCATTCTTCCTGAGAATTGCATCTTGACAACCTTGGCAGCCATAGCAGTTACTGCCAAGTTTCACCCACTCCCCATTCCCCCCAACCTCCACCCTAGACTTGTCTGCTTCCAGCCAATTGAACCAGCTCCAGTTCCATCAGTCATTGCCTGCATTTGGTCACAGAGGGTTCCCTCCTGGATATGCACCTATCCTGATCAGATGACTGCCAGCAATTCCTTCTGAGTTCCACATTTTGACTGAGGAAAAATTGAACTCTCAGCCTCAATGAATGAGTTGCCATGGCCTTTCCCAAAGTTCACCCTACCTAGAAGTATAAATTCAGCCAAGCATTTCCAAAAGACATGAAAGCAGGGAGATAAAAAGCCCATGAACCACTGCATCCAAGAAATCTGATAAAAGAAAATCATCTGATGTCTGTAAAAAAAATACAGTCTGAGAGATGAGCCCACCCTCTGGCTATGAGTTACAAAGGCTATGGACACACACACACAAGTAAATGCTCCCTCTATCTTTGAAACACAAAGTAACCTGACTATCCTGGCCTACCTTAACATAAACTTCAACTCACACTGTCAGGCCTGGGTGGATAGTCGAGACCAAGCACTATCAAACTGTACCCCTAAGAACCCATGGTCATTGCAAAAGTTCGGAGCAAACCTTTAACTTTTCTGGCAGACAATGGATCAGAACTCTCTGCCTTCAAAAGTTCCCTCTGTCAAAAAGTTACCATCACGTGGGCAACTTGGACTCTTGCCTCTCACCTCTTCTGCCAGGCACAAACTTGTAGCATGGGAGGGCATCTCACCAAACATGAATTCCTGTATAAGCCAGCCCCTATACTGCATCTGGAAAGAGACCTCCTCTTTAAGTTAGAAGCAATCATCTCCTCTGCACCAAGCCAGTCAGCCTTTTTCTCTTTTCACCCTGATCTTTCAATTTTGACTGATCCCCAACAGGAAGATGACACCTGCATCCACCTGAGACAGGTAACTGCAATCTTGCATTCTGAAAAATCTTCTCACAGAGGTGTGAGCTAAAGACTTGTCTCTGGGCCTGGCCATCGAAAACACTGCTTCACTGTGACCTCCAATGCTATCAGATGTCACAAGAAGCACAAATAGTCATCTAGTCACACATTAGCTGCCTAAAATAATATGGGATCCTGACAGACTGTTAATCTGTGGTCCCTAACACATATACCCTTTTTGGACTTTTACTCAATTGTCACAAGGATCTGGGAACTCTCCCACTATTTTGGAGGAGGCCCAACAACAGATCTTGCCAAGTTACCATCTCCTTCTCTCTAGAACAGCACATTACTCTGTCCTTTCCAGCTCCATGACAGTCCCCTGAGGGAAAAAATGAGGTTTCAAAACCACAAAATATTTATAGACTGTCAAACTGCTAAAATACACCTCTCCTGCCTATAAGGCCAGTTCAAGATCTCCAAGCTTTGCCATCCCGATTACCCTCCATTTATGTTGCCTCAGTCTTCTGCTACCCACATTCTGCTGGTACACCTGCCTGAATCTAAAAAGTGCCTTTTTCTGCCTTTGATTGGCCACTGTCAGTCAGCCCTTTTTTACCTTTAAATAGAAACACCAGTTTTGAACTCAAAGATTAGCTGACCTGTACTCAATCTCCCAGAGATTCAAAAATTTATTTACCCTCTTTATAAAACCCTCACAACTGACCTTGTTAATTTCCTAGCACAAACTATCATAGCACATCTCATTAATGACACCCAAGCTGCCTTCAGAAAAGGCACAAAAGTTCTTCTGAAATATCTGACAGAAACAGGTTACAGGGAAGAAACTCTGGCAATTTCTTGGAGCTGCTGGCTTCTATAGAATCTGGATCCTTGAGTCCACAAAAAAATGTTGTTTACTCGGACTGTCAGCCCCTGGGAGCACCCAGTGACCTACCTATGCAAATACTTGGGTCCAGTATCAAAGGGCTGCTTCCCCTATTTGCTTTCTCACTCTAATGGGCACTATCCTGCTGATCAAGAACACTGAAAAACTCACCTTAGGTTAGACCTAAGTATCCGGTTGCCATATGCTGTACTGGACCAAAAAATGGACCTCTTGACAAATGCTGAATACATCCTGTTTATGGATGGAAGTAGCTAGATAGGAATGGGGTCCAACAGGCTAGATATGCTGTGGTCATGTTGGATAAAATTATTTGGGCCAAAGCTCTCCTGCTACTGCTTCCTGTTGCTGTTTGTAAACCTGCTACCAACAATGCCAAATCTGTACTCCTAAGCCTCCTTTGAGGATCCAATTGAATGAAACATCAACCCCAGCCAGAAAAGCTTTACCTGGTACTGCACAAAGATCCTTCTTAATCTGAGTGAGACCTGCCCCCACCATATGTTCTGCAAGCTCAAGCCATGCATTGACACTCATTTCCGTGCAGCCAGCTCTGGCGTTAGTGTCTGTGTTACTGGTCCTTATTGCTCCCCATTTAAAGACATACAGATAGACTCACTGATCATCTACACCTACTTGGGCTAGCCTGGGGGATTCCCTACCCAAGCTGAGGGGGAAATAAACGTTTGTAGGGTCCTACTGTGAAAAATTATTCCTAGATATAGCCTACATTTGACCACTCGCAGCAGCAACAGGCCTGTATTTGTAGCAGAGATGACTCAATAGAAACTACATATATCATAAAGGTCACAAGCTCTAAGAAGTTGAGAAAATAAAGCATAACCCTACAGAAACAGCTCATAACTAGCTCCACAAAACATTAGCTAAAAGACCAGCTATATCTATAGACACCCCTGCACACAAGAGAATAAAAAATAACCAGTAAGGCCCTTACAAATGGTAAAGATTTGACAAGCATCCAAGACACACTGGACACACTCCTAGATCAGCTTGACTCCCTCACTACCTTGCCCAAGTAATGTTACAGAACAGAAAGACCTAAATTATGTCCTTCCTAAATGCAACTCTATAATAAGACAATCTTGAGGACCTTGGCTAGGGCTCATCCTAGGATTACTGACAACCATAATGTTACTGCTCCTAGTTGGGCCTTGTCTCTGAAGACTGTAATATTCCCAGGAAAGATTTGCTGGGAAAACAAAAAGAGGGGGTTAATGAAACAGAAAATGCCACCCACCCCACAACCAGTATACTTCAGCTTCTCAGTTGCCCGGGTAATCGTTCTTGTTATAGTTCCAGTTGCTTCCGTCTCCTGGAAACAGCTGGTCAGTGTGATACATAGTTGGTCACTATGATGCATACTGTAACAACCAATCAAAGATAGCCAAGTACTTTATCTCTGAATTTTCTCTTTGAAATCCCATAAAAACCTCCTTCCTTGTGTCTTTGGGATCTGATATTTTGGAAATTATCCCAGTCAGTGCTCATCAACATAAAATAAATCTGCCTCCAAATCCTGGGTGCCACTTGGCCTTTCTGCTTGCCACTGCAAAATAAGAATAAATGTAAACTGGTATTAGATTAAATCTTAGGTATGTAAAAGAAGCATGTTCAAAATCATGCCTACAATAATGCCGTAAATGTAAACCTCAGACTGTTCCTATAAGACAACATTCCAACAATTATAAGCTCACAGTTAAAGGTCACAAAAAAATCCTAACATCAGCCAAAGCAACAGAACCAAACCCTGAAAGAGACCAAATATTAAAAATTAGGCAGATTAATATGTTAAGCAAATTTAATTGGTTTGAGGAAGATTACAAATATAAAAATCATTAGAATCTATTTTAAATCCCTGTGATAGGAAATGATAAATCATATAAGCTCAAACTGGATTTATTTTACAGTTATTAAGAATTTTATTATATAAATCTTATGGAATTATTTTAAGTATTCATGAGCCGGTATAGTAACTCACTGTAACCTTTCAATATGTGCCCTAAAATTTATATATTAAACTACAAAAAAGTTTATTTGAAACAGTATACTGTGTTAGCTGTGCTTTTTGATTGTATGTGACAGAAAATCCATCCCAGAATGAATTTACGAACCTACATAACTAGAGTTTGGAACCATGGCTTCATCAGACTGTTCTGGATCCAAGAGATCCAATAAGGTCATCAAGAAACTTTGTTTCTTGTATCTGTGTTTCTCTCAGTACAGACTTTCTTACAGACTGTCACCCTTCATGGAAGCAAATGGATGCCAGCTGCTCCTTTAAATATTGACAAACCAAGAATCCCAGCAGTGAGAGTACTAACATTGAGCCTGATGACATGGCTTGCTTCATCTGCACACCACTGATTCCATGAATGTGGGCAGGCTAGGATCTTGCCTCTAACCTATGAACAGTAGAGCCAGGTCACCATGTAGCATCCTTGAGTGCTGAGAGCAGGAATAGAATGGATTGGAAAAAAAAATGTGTGACTAAATATATTAGTCCTATTTGCTGTTGCTGGGACAAAATATTTCATAGTCACAGTTTAAAGGAGGAGAGGTTTAATTTGGCTCACAGTTTCCGAGGTTTCAGTCCATGCGAAACTGACTTCAAAGATGGAGCATCATGGTAGATGGGTAAGATGGAGCAAAATCTCTCACTTTCTGTTGGCTAAGAAAGCAGAATAACATGGGGAGAGCACCAGGGAGAGATCTACACTCCAAGGCAAACCACCAGTGGCTGACCTCTAACTAAGTCTCACCTCCCCACAGCACACAGATTAATCAACTGATTAATACAGTGCCTCCATGATCCAGTTACCCTGCCAAGAGTCTCTTCACCCAATAAAATGACAAGGAAGTGGAACTGTCATAAATAACACGTGTTAAATTATGTGAATCTTACTCAGATGTGATTTAACTTGCTTTTAAAAATACTCATTAATAAAATGCATAGTGGTTTGCGTACAGGATTCCATTTTAGATATCTTTGATGTAAGTGTCCATTAGAAGTCTTCTGCTCTGAGAAGCAGAGCATTTCATTAAAAGTGTGTTGGATATAAGTGGCAATTCAGAGGCCAATATTTCCATGGTTGAACAGTTTAGCAGTTCAGACATGTAGAGCTTCCAGAAAGGCTGGAAATCGTTCTGTAGTTCTCTTGGCTTTTGTCATCGTAAGATAATTGCTGCAACTCCAGGCATCATGTGTCACAGACTGTGACCAAAGGCAGAAAGTTCAATTTTTTAAAGCATCTCATTAACTTCATCTAAGAATGAAAAATATTCAGATTGCCTCCCAGCAAAACTCTTTTTTTATCTCACTCCATCACTAAGCCACTAACTAACACCAACTCACATGCTCCCACTAAATTAGTAACTAGCACCAAGCCATGTACTAACCATGAGTGAATTACACCAAGTGTAGTTTATACTTTCAGGAAAAAATGCTTACTTTTCCGCTGAGCACACTTCTGATTTATACCTGGACAACATTCAGTCAGAAGACATGGGAGATGTTTTGTGAGGGCAGCAACAGTACATAATACACTGTGTCCAGCTAGGTAAAATAGATTTACAAAGAATTGTTATAGCAATTTCTGGAAATATATTTTTAAAAGCCGTTTTAATTTTTAAAATAATTTAAAACTCCAATCACTATGTCTGTATGTATTTCTGGCCTTTTTAATACATTCAAAGGGAGTTACCAAATATTCCCACACTCCGTGACTTCCACTTTGAATAACATGAAAGTTTGCTTATTTTCTGTTTAAACACAATTTCAAAAATAAAGAAAATATTATAGGTAAACATAAATTAGACTTTTCTAAATGTAGCAGAAAACTGATTTGTATTCCACTTTCTGTTTTGTGAACTGAAAGGAACTAGGCTACTAGGAGACAAGAAATACCTTGAAAATACAACAGTTGAATGTATATTTTCCCATTGTATGCTCTTCCTTATGTATACTATAACTTAGAAACTAACTCCAAGTACACCAGACTGCTTTGCTTTTAGATCCCCAAAGACAAAATTTGAACCCAAGATTTTTTTTTAAGAGAAACACTTTCATAACTGCGATATAAAGTATATCACCTTTAAGAGGGTGCACATGTATATATCAAAACACCAAAATGCTAAAACTTCGT